ATAAAACTTGAAACAAGTAATCCCCAAGCCCAGCTAAAGGCCTTTGCACTAATGAAAAAACAATTAAATTTCATAAGAGTGCAATGTGACAAAATCTCAAAAAAGAGACATTCTTTCAAATTAAGATCCCGACGCTCGGAAGTGGATATAAAGACCACAAGTAAGGTTATAGAAACATTAAAAATTAGAAGAGAAGAACTGCGAGTCCAGTTGAGTGATTATTCTCTAATGGAAAAGCAATTAAAAGCTATAAGAGAGCAGTGCAAAAATGTCGAAAAAGAGAGAAACGCTTTCTTACAAAGAGCCGAACTCATGACACAGAGTAAAGAGAGCATGAAGATTGAGAGGGACGCCTTAAAGCTAGAAATAGAGAATCTCCGAGCCAAGATTAAGGACACAGATGTGCTGGAATCGCAATTAAACTTTGTAAGAGAAGACTGTGACAACACAGCAAAGGAGAGTGACTCTTTAATTTCCGAGGCTCAACACATGGGAATATCTCCAGAGGCCACAGAGGAGGACAGGGGCGACGATGCACTACTGGAAGATCAAATAAACGTTGTAAGAGAAGACTTCGACAATGTGACAAAAGAGCTAGTGCCTTTAATACTCGAAGCCCAGCAGATGGGACCGGAAAGAGAGGCCCCAGAGGGTAAGTTGGATGAGGATGAGCTGCAAGAAGAACAATATTTTAGGAGAAGACTGTGACAGCGTATCACAAGAGAGGGACTCCTTAACACAGGAAGTCCAAGATATAGAATCGGATAGAAAGCCCATGGAGAATGAATATGACGCTAATGAATTGACGGAAGAACAATGGAACATCATAAGGGCTGACTGCGACAGTATCGTAAAAGAGCTGGAGTCTTTAATACTCGAAAACCCAGCAGATGGGAGAGGATCGAGAGCACTCAGCGGGTGAGTTGGACGAGGATGCGGTGCAGGAAGAGAAATTTAACATTTCAGAAGACTGCGACAGCATCTCACAAGAGAGGGATTCCTTCACACAGGAAGTACAAGACATAGCATTTGATAGAGAAACCATGGAGGGTGAGTTGGACGATGATGAGCAGCAGGAAGATAAATTTAACATTTTAGGAGAAGACTGTGACATCATCTCACAAGAGAGGGACTCCTTAACACAGGAAGTCCAAGATATAGAATCGGATAGAAAGCCCACGGAGAATGAATATGACGCTAATGAATTGACGGAAGAACAATGGAACATCATAAGGGCTGACTGCGACAGTATCGTAAAAGAACTGGAGTTTTTAATACTCGAAAACCCAGCAGATGGGAGAGGATCGAGAGCACTCAGCGGGTGAGTTGGACGAGGATGCGGTGCAGGAAGAGAAATTTAACATTTCAGAAGACTGCGACAGCATCTCACAAGAGAGGGATTCCTTCACACAGGAAGTACAAGACATAGCATCGGATAGAGAATCCACGTTGGGTGAGTCGGACGATGATGAGCAGCAGGAAGATAAATTTAACATCTTAGGAGAAGACTGGAACATCATCTCACAAGAGAGGGACTTCTTAACACAGGAAGTCCAAGATATAGAATTGAATAGAAAACCCACGGAGAATGAATACGACGCAAATGAAATGACGGAAGAGCAATGGAACGTCATAAGGCATGACTGCGACAATATCGTTAAAGATCTAGAGTCCTTAATACTCGAAGCCCAGCAGATGGGAGAGGATAGAGAGGACTCAGCGTGTGAGTTGGACGAGAATGAGGTGCAGGAAGAGATATTTAACATTTCAGAAGACTGCGACAGCATCTCGCAAGAGAGGGATTACTTCACACCAGAAGTACAAGATATAGCATCGGATAGAAAATCCACGTTGGGTGAGGTGGACGATGATGAGCAGCAGGAAGATAAATTTAACATCTTAGGAGAAGACTGCAACATCATCTCACAAGAGAGGGACTCCTTAACACAGGAAGTCCAAGATATAGAATCGGATAGAAAGCCCACGGAGAATGAATACGATGCTAATGAAATGACGGAAGAGCAATGGAACGTCATAAGGGATGACTGCGGCAGTATCGTTAAAGAGCTAGAGTCCTTAATACTCGAAGCCCAGCAGATGGGAGAGGATAGAGAGGACTCAGCGTGTGAGATGGACGAGGATGAGTTGCAGGAAGAGATATTTAACATTTCAGAAGACTGCGACAGCATCTCACAAGAGAGGGATTCCTTCACATCAAGAGTACAAGATATAGCATCGGATAGAGAATCCACGTTGGGTGAGTTGGACGATGATGAGCAGCAGGAAGATAAATTTAACATCTTAGGAGAAGACTGCAACATCATCTCACAAGAGAGGGACTCCTTAACACAGGAAGTCCAAGATATAGAATCGGATAGAAAACCTACGGAGAATGAATACGATGCTAATAAAATGACGGAAGAGCAATGGAACGTCATAAGGGATGACTGCGACATTATCGTTAAAGAGCTAGAGTCCTTAATACTCGAAGCCCAGCAGATGGGAGAGGATAGAGAGGACTCAGCGTGTGAGTTGGACGAGGATGAGGTGCAGGAAGAGATATTTAACATTTCAGAAGACTGCGACAGCATCTCACAAGAGAAGGATTCCTTCACACCAGAAGTACAAGATATAGCATCGGATAGAGAATCCACGTTGGGTGAGTTGGACGATGATGAGCAGCAGGAAGATAAATTTAACATCTTAGGAGAAGACTGCAACATCATCTCACAAGAGAGGGACTCCTTATCACAGGAAGTCCAAGATATAGAATCGGATGGAAAGCCCACGGAGAACGAATACGATGCTAATGAAATGACGGAAGAGCAATGGAACGTCATAAGGGATGACTGCGACAATATCGTTAAAGAGCAGGAGTCCTTAATACTCGAAGCCCAGCAGATCGGAGAGGATAGAGAGGACTCAGCGTGTGAGTTGGACGAGGATGAGGTGCAGGAAGAGATATTTAACATTTCAGAAGACTGCGACAGCATCTCAAAAGAGAGGGATTCCTTCACACCGGAAGTACAAGATATAGCTTCGGATAGAGAAGCCACGGAGGGTGAGTTGGACGATGATGAGCAGCAGGAAGATAAATTTAACATTTTAGGAGAAGACTGTGACATCATCTCACAAGAGAGGGACTCCTTAACACAGGAAGTCCAAGATATAGAATCGGATAGAAAGCCCACGGAGAATGAATATGACGCTAATGAATTGACGGAAGAACAATGGAACTTCATAAGGGCTGACTGTGACAGTATCGTAAAAGAGCTAGAGTCTTTAATACTCGAAGCCCAGCAGATGGAAGAGGATAGAGAGGCCTCAGCGGGTGAGTTGGACGAGGATGAGGTGCAGGAAGAGAAATTTAACGTTTCAGAAGACTGCGACAGCATCTCACAAGAGAGGGATTCCTTCACACCAGGAGTACAAGAGATAGCATCGCTTGTCGCTCTGCAGTCTTGCAGTTTTTCTCAGGTCTGCTTTCTTCACATATCGCGGCTGTCCGCCGCCTAGGTCCTTCATTTCATTTCTGCGTTGTAGTTGCTGTCTCAGGCCTCGGTTCCTGATGCCAGTGTTGCGTTCAGGGCATTTGCACACTCTTCCCGAATGTCCATTTCTTGGTGATTTTCGGTGCGACCTTATTCTTGTTTTGTCCCATACGCCTCTGTCCTACACAGAGTATAATCTTTATTCCGGTGGCGGTCACTTCTTTCCGCTGGCATCCGTAGGTTCCCAGGGGAATTTCCTTCTTGAAGGCATTTCTCCAACCTCGTGCCACTGTCGCGCGACGGGATGTCTTCCTGCAGGGGACAGCCAACTTCATCCGGGGTCCACAGCTTTCCCGTGTCGAATTCTTTATATTTCGTCGATGTCGGTCCCTGCGCCTTTTCTTCTTCGGTTCTCCGACCGGCATTACTTCGGCGTCTTGAACGGGTACCTCTCGTAGTTCTGCCACCTCAGGTTTCCTGTTCGCTGAGGCCGGCTCTTCTTGTTGTAGACGTGCCTCCGTCTCTTGGCAGGCCATCGTCTCTCCGACCGGTATTGCAATGGGGACCTCTTCTTGTTGTTCCGCCTCAGGTTTTATGTCCACTGGGGCCGGCTTTTCTTCTTCTTGCCAGGTTTTCGAGTCAGCGTCTAATTTTACCATGAAATCTTCTTTGTCTGCCCTCAGTTTGGCTAACAACTCTTTATGGTCTTTCCTCCTATTTGCTTCCAATTCTTCCAGCATTTTAAGTATTAGTTGAAAGTCTTTCTCCTCCATTTTCTTTTCTTACTTTTCGTATGCAATACTTCTTCCTGGATCGAGGCGTGTTTAAGCTCGTAAACCAATTCTGACACCAATGTTACGTGTCTTGAGTTCGAATTTTGTTGGTCACGTGTGTAAGTCCAAATCCTACTTCTGACACCAATGTAACGTGTTTCGTTACTGAAGACGCCGTAGAGATTGTTAATTGGTTTATTCAACAACCTACAAGTAACGGCTACAATTAATTATAACACAGTTGCGGGGTTTCGCACTTTATAACCTTAATCGCATTAATCTGTTTACACTGTTGCGGGGTTTCACGATTTATAACTCTATTCGCAAATCAGTTCCCTCTATCTTCAGTAGGCTACACGTATTCACAGTACTGGAGCTATCCAAGTCTCTCTGTCTCTCACACTCCCAATTACACAGTTACACACACGTCCGGTTCTTCTTTCCGCGACGGCTGCAATATTCCAACTCAACTCGCAGGCTGCTGACTTGAGAACTGTTGATAACACACTCGCTCGTAGGCTTGCTCGGAACTAACTCGGAGCTACATCTGAACTCGCCGACTGCTACGTTACAACTAACTCGGCGACTGCCTTGGAAACTGACTTCGTAGGCAGTGTAGGTCTCTTATAAACCTTCAACCGGACAACGGGAAAACGCCTGGCTTCCTTGTTGCCTGGTTGACTGTTTGCCGATATCCTAGCAACGCTGTTACCTCACGCCGTCTTACGTCACCGCACGTTGCGCGTTACGTTTCTGTGCTGTGGGGGGGGGGGNATCCGCCACGTCACTGTGGCCTGAGTTGCCACGTTGCTGCTGGGTAGGGAGGGGTTCTCCGTTGCGCAACATGTCACAATATAAAAGAGCTGGAGTCTTTAATACTCGAAGCCCAGCAGATGGGAACGGATAGAGAGGCTTCAGAGGGTGAGGTGGACGAGGATGGGGTGCAGGAAGATCAAAGGAACATCATAAGGGAAGACTGCGACAATATCGTAAAATAGCTAGACTCTTTAATACTTGAAGCCCAGCAGATGGGCACGGAAAGAGAAGCCAGAGTGGAGGACCTCGCAGACGTTCATGTGTGTCAAGACAAATTAATCTGTGTAACTGACGACTGTGGGGTCATCGCTAGAGATCTAGACTGTTCAATATCCAAAGCTGAACTCATGGAAACCGATAGAGATGTGACTGAGGAACACTGGGATCACGATTCGTGAATAAAACGGCAATTATACTGCGTAACAGAAGACTGTGACAACTTCGCTCAAGAGAGAGTCACTTTAATACTCGAAAGTCAAGATTTGGAAAATGGAGATGCTACATCGGAGAATCTCGACGATACTTCGCTATTAGAAGAGAAATTAAACGTTCCAATTTAAGACTGCGACAAGGTCGCTAAAGAAAGGTCGTCATAATAGTCGAAGCCCGAAATATAGGGACGGATAAAGAGGCGACAAAAGAGAATTTCGACGACGCTGCGCTATCGGATGAGCGATTTAACTCTGAAAGAGAAGACGGTAACAACATCGCAAAAGAACTGGTCTATTTATTACTCGAAGACCAACACGTAGGAAAGGCTAGAGAGTTTACTAACGAGCACTGGACCGTCGACGCGTCAATCGAAGTGGAATTAATATAGGGAGAAAAATGGTAACAACATCGCAAAAGATAGACTGTTAAATACTCGAAGTTCAAAAAAGGGGATCGAATAGGGAAGGTAGAGAGGAGGACTAGGACAAGGATGCGATGAAGGAAGAGAAGACTGCAACAACATCGGAAAAGAGCTAGACTCTTTAAATAATATTAAGCGTTGTTCTTGAAAATTCTGTATCTAATACAATTTTTATGATAAATTAAAGTAATCAACTTTACTTTTATCAGCAAAGAACATAATGTCACATATTGTAACATGAGGCTTGAAAATATTTCAGCAAAAATTTATGCTCTCTTCTTTTATAATTAAATTCATGCTGTACAAAAGTTGTCCCCGCTTCTTCTATTTTTGCCTGCATGCATGTTGCATTACAAATCTACTGCCTAGCAGAGATCAATGTTTCGTTGTTTCGCAACGGGTCTCTATTTGCTACAATATTGTGCATACTAGAGTTCCATATAAGAGTCTAAATATTGGGTGTCCAAAAGGAACCGGACACTTCGTAACTGACTATGTAAAATGCCGTCATGTAAATTTGTAAATATAGATGACATTTGCACCTGATTTTAAAGGCGGTAAATATTGCTGTGTTTGCGTGGACCGGAAATAGTTGTAAACGATAGACCCGTACTCTCGTCAGAGAGGGCGCCCCACATGAACAACCCCACAACTGCCTGAAAGTAACAACAAAGTGGTCTTTGATACCGAGACAGACTGGCCGACTGACAGACGGCCGTAACTTAACTTTGACTTTGACTTTTAGTCGGTCAAGAATATGAGTTGAGAATGGAAGCAGTAAAGGAAATACCAAGCAATGTATACGTGAGAAATAGCGAATTGAGAAATCTGATATGTTCTAGAGATTTGTATAGTGTAGTGAAAGACGCAGCAGAAAGTTAAGAATTTTTGTACGATTTACACCTGATGATAATTAATAACTGGTCGAAACATATAGTTGAATTA